GAGGGGGAAGAATGGCGCGTGGGGGGAAAATGGCGACGCGTGGGGGTAGAGGGTCGGGGGATCGCACGGGGAATCGCGCAGGAGCAGGAAGAGGAAGAGAAGGAGACGGAGAGGGAAGACAAAGTAGAGGGAAGAGGAAGAGAAGGAGAAGCAGAGGGAAGAGAAAGTAAAGGCTCATGAAATGGTCTTCAGTATCGTGCCCGCCTCAACTGATGCAGAGGTGGAAGAGAAGACTGTCACACTCCTCAGGGCCCTAGTAGAAGTCCGGGTTGTTGAAGACCATACAGGCCAACTCGCCAAGGTGTTTGATGAACTCAAGAAGTTGCACGAGGACATGGCCCTGATGGCGCAGCAGCACCGTGACCAGCTGCAACAGTTTGCTAGCGTGCAGCCGACCCAAAGTGTCCTTCCACCTGCTTACCCTGCTTCTAGTGCTGCGCGTCAGTCCGTTCTAGCCCCTCTAATTATATCTTCCTCTTCTTCTTCTTCTTTGAGTGTGGCTAACAGCCTATCCGGATCTGCAGCAGGTCCACACCCCGCTGCTGTTGTTGCTGCTGCTGCAGCAGCAAGTGGCAGTGCAGGGCATTCTGGAACTATTGCAGCCCCGAATTCGGACCCAGCAATCGCTGGTCCTAGCTGCAGCTTTCCCTATGTGGACAGAAAAGCAACACAAATTTCGTCTAAGTATGGCGGAAAAGATGACATTGAATCTTGGATCAGCTCCATGCGATCCTACTTTGATGTGCTGGGGACACCCCCGGTAACTCAGTCGTCGGTCCTAGGGACCAATGTGGAACCCGCCGTAAGGGGCTTCTTAGAAGTCCAAGCTGTACAGACCTCAACAAATGGTTGAAGGCTACACCTATAGCCGCACTCGAGGAACTTTTGATTAAACAATATGTTGATCCACATGCTGCAGCCAAGGCTAGACTTAAGCTTGACAAGCTCAAGCACAACAAGTGGATTAGCACCATGCATAGCCTGCAGCAGTATGTTAGTAAACTCTTTGCTACTCCGGATCTGGAGATGACTGCGCAATCTTGTTTGGATGTGATTAAAGGTACGGTCCCCTCTACTATAACACATCGCCTGGGGCTCGGACTCATAGCGTATACAGATTGGCTTACCCTCATGCAGGACTTAGTCAAGCTGGAGGCACAAGACGTCCCGGGTGGATCGGGTGGCAAAAAGGCCACCGGCCGCAAACTGTTTCCAGACAGCAACCGTTTTTCAGTGCACGATCTACTTGAGGATGACGAGGAGACCTTCGCAGAGGATCCTTCTCTTGGTGACGATCAAGAGCAAGGCTGCGAGGCTTCTTGCTCTTCGTCAGCTCATGAGTCTGAGTATGTAAATGACGAAGAATCAATGAATTCCTTCAAGAAAACTGCCTTCAAAAGTAAGGGACTCAGGACCACAGTGAAGAACAACACTAACACCATTCTTCTTCCCAAGGGAGCGAAGATTCCACCCAAACCGGAAGATCCTGCCACAAAACCATGGACAGATCTCCGAATAAGTGAAAGTGAGTGGAAACATAGGGTGAAGAAAGGGGTTTGCATGCATTGCACCAAATCGGGACACTCAGTCCAACATTGTTTCAGATTGCAGTAGGGAAACCAGCAACGGGGGTAGAGACATCATCAGCACACTCTACAAACGGAGAGGTTGAACATGTAAGTGCAGATCCTTCACTGGATTCTGATCCCACTCATCAAACCTCTCCTGAGACCCCATCTGATGTTGATTCCAAGGCTGAGAAAATACACATCCTATACAAGGAGCCTTGGGTGGAGTTGGAAGAAATCGACTTTCATGCCCTCTTGTCGCGCTGGGCTCACATGAAGCAAGAACGCGTGCAAGGGAAAACGAAGTTGATCTTCTTCAAAGTCCGCATTAACGGTCGTTACATCCATATGTTGGTTGATTGTGGCGCAACCGCCAACTACTTCTCACTGCACGACATTCGTAAGGCACGCTTGGGAATGAAGCAAGTGGCCTTGCAGAACCCTTGTCGACCCAAGTGGGCAACCAAGAGGTTGTCACATCTACGCATGCAGTCAAAGGTGTGCGCACTACCTTTGACGCAGACCGCACAATCACGCATGAGTTGAACTTCTATGTCCTTGATAAGTGCCCCTTCGACGCGGTTATTGGCTTGGGCTGGTTGCAGGCCCAATGTGAAAGAACCACGTGGAAGGACTCAGGGTTCATAGTCAAAGATGCCATGGGAATCAAACGCCCAGTCCTCTTGGATGAGCCGCACGAGTCCCAAGCAACTTTTCTCAATGCAATGCAATTCTTCAAAAAGTGGCGGCGCAAAGTTGATGAGCAAATGTATATAGCCTTTGTTAGGCCTGCTCATGTGCCTTCTATTTTTGTTGTACATAAGGATTCTACTTTGCATGCCGTTTCTACTTCTGAGGCAACTACTTCTACCTCTACTAAATCTACTTCTAGTCCAAACGACTCTGCTTCAAATTCTGTTGTTTTGGTTGCACCGATGCAATCCGGTATGCTTGCATCTGAAAGTGATGATCCACCTTCGGAAGTCCCATCCGAAATCCACAACCTTCTCAACCGATTTCCTGAAGTCTTGGCCGAACCGCATGGTGTTCCCGTGCGTCCGGTCCGACACAAGATCGAGTCGGTGGAAGGTAGCACTCCTCCAAAAGGTTGTGTCTATCGAATGGGCTCAGGCGAATTGGAAGAGTTGCAAAGACAGATTGATGACATGATTGAGAAAGGATGGATCAAGCCAAGCGAATCCGAATTCGGTACACCGGTTTTGTTTGTCCCTAAGAAAGGAGGCAAACGACGGATGTGTATCGATTACCGCGGACTGAATAGAATAACAAGAAAGAACGCATATTCTTTGCCGCGTATTGATCATCTGTTTGATGTTGCGGGTGGGTGCAAGGTCTTCAGCAAGATCGATCTCAAGTCTGGCTACCACCTGATTGAAGTCGACCCTGCAGACCAGCACAAAACTGCATTCAAAACTCGCGATGGGTTGTACGAGTTAACCGTCATGCCCTTCGGCCTCACGAATGCACCGGCCACCTTCCAAAGTCTCATGGACAAGGTGTTCCGCAATCAAATCAACCGATTTGTTGTTGTGTATTTGGATGACATACTAATCTTCAGCAAGTCGATGGAGGAGCACATGAGACATCTTGAGGAAGTGTTGCAGATCCTCAAGGATGCGAAGAGACTGAGCTGCCATGACGGTTTTCCCACCACGCACCCC